AGGTCACCAGCTTAACATAGCTTCCAAGAACAAAATATCCAGATAACAATGCAATATATAATAACAGTATCATAAGAACAGTGAGATTATATATTAAAACTGGTAAAAGAGATGAATGGCCAGCTTGCTGGCATCCCTCATTATCTGTTGCAATATTTGACATGCTGCCATGCAAAAATTTATTGTATTTTAGATTCTAACAGGCAATCTTTCTGTAAGAAATGGGTGAAAAGTATTTATTTGAGTGGAGCTAGCAAAGTATATTTGTGATGCTTAAACAGTATAATTTTTTCTTTAGTCTGCTTCTGCTTTTGGAACTGCTTGGGCATATTCATACTTGAGAATGCAATCATTAGACATACATGGGGTGTTCCAGAATTCTTCTGAAAGAAGACATGTTTCTTACTCAGCTCCTGGAGGTGTGTTTGTGTGCTTGAAGTTTACTGTCTGCTTCAACAGCAGATCAATACTGCAAAATGTGCAGCAGCTTTTAGTGAGTATGATAGCATGATTGGGCTATTGCAAGAGATCCTTAGCCGAGTAGAAAATTTTCCATGCTAAAACCCAACAAAATACAACAAATGAAGACAACATCATAGAAAGGGGAAATGTCACAGAGTCCTTCATGCTCTATTGCTCGCTTCCATTTGCATTTCCAATGTTCTGCCCCTCACTCTCTGACTCACTGTTCTCATTTGAAAGGCATAAGCAAGCCACTAAATGCTTGTTTGCTAGATATTCATCTTTTTACAAGTGAAAGTCTGGTGGCAAATCTGAGTAATGTTTTTTAGTCCAACTGGACAAACAAGGCCTTGTCTTTTCACATGTACAGTGCTTACGTATATTGGAAGTGATTACAAGAGACCCTGGCCTCAGGATTATTTTCTGATATGTCATATAATTTTTGCAATTGTCTATCATGGTCTTTCTGAACCCTTATCTGGGCAATCTCTTCCTACATAAAAAAGTCCCCACAAGAGTTTGTGGCACTTGATTATACTTCTGCTATTTCATCACTGAAAAAGAAAATGGTGGGTTTGTCCCATCTTAAGAGCAATGGGATCTCAACAAATTCAATTCTTTCCATGAAATTTCAGGGAGATTATATGGTGTGTGGTTAATCAAGCTCGTGATATCCCCACAGACAATCATTAATTTCTACTTAGACCTTAACCTATGATTGGTTTTCTTCAAATGATCTGGTAGCAACACAAACTGCCTGATTATTCTGCAGAGATATTTAATAGGCACCCTAGTTTCCCAGAAATGCTGAGTCAATCTTGAGAAACTGAAGAGAGAGTGGAAGCTTAATCTGTAAATCACTAGAGTTCACACCTAGAGCTCCAGAGTTATGGAGAATTCCTTGTGGAGATTCTTAGTAGGTCTGTTTTGTGTTTATGCCTTCAATCAGTATTGACTCCTGATGATTGCCTGGATTAGTCTCTGCAGCTTTTTTGGAGAGATTTCTAAAGTGGTTTGCCATTGCCTCCTTCGTAGGGCTGAGTGGGAGTGACTGGCCCAATGTCATCCAGCAGGCTTCATACCTAAGACAGGACTAGTACTCACAGTCTCCCAATTTCTAGCCTGATACCTTAATCACTACATCAAACTGGCTCTCCTTTTAGTATGTATAGAAGTATATATGTGAAGCAAGGAAGACCATTTGAAAAGTATCTGGGATCAACCTGTTCTTATGGATAATTATTTTTACAGAACAGCAAAAGTGATTTCCTGTTTTTTCTGCTACTATGGCAGTCACTCTGATCCATCTTTAATATTCTGATAACTCTACAAACATGCTGGGCAAAAAGTAGTTTTACTGACAGAGGAAAACATTTTTGTTGCTTTTCATAGTCCCCTAATAGACAACTTGGTTTCCTAGCCATTCATTAAGGTCAGCAGGAAATGCCTTTTTCTCTCCTTCTCTGCTGTCTTCTTATGAAATTGTTGTAAATGTGGGCAAAAACCTTGGTTGCAGCACCCAGAATGTGAGATATTTCTGCTGCAGGTTATCCATCTATCTCTTTCCCCATCCCCACCCCCCACCCCCCCCGGGCATTCCAAAATTGACTTTAACAAGTGGTTGTATTGTGATATCTTTTGCTGTATTCCTTTTTAAAAAATGCTTTAAGTGGATTTTTCCTGTGCTTTTAACAAGTGGATGATATGAATCTCAAGTACAAAAGCCAGATCAAAATCTCACACATAATAGTAATAGTTTACTGTAGTAGAAACAAGAATGCAAACTGTGGAAGTGAAAGTAATGAAATCCATCCCAGACTTAAAATTTGCTTCAACCAATTCCATGAAAGATAGTCCAGTGAGATTGGCATTGCCAATAAGCAAAATCCACAGCTAAGTATCTCACCTTATGATTCTATTGTTTGGTAAATAATGTAACATTCCTATTGGTGTCCTGGCCAGTTTTAAAAACACTGAATTTATGGATATATCCGTGGAAGGCACAAAATACATGTGTTCTGTGACTGAAGACAGAAAACTAGTTTAGAAGGACATGATTTATAGGTGCTCTGTACACTAACCCTTGAAGGCATTGCTACACCACTTTTGGTCTAGTGGTTTTTTATAATATTAAAAAATATTTGTTCACAAGTAGTGCGTGTGAGGCCTGGAAATGGCAGAATGGGAAATCTTCCTCTGCTTTTGAACTTCCAGCTTATGTTAACAAGAATGGAAAATATGTTGATATTGTTTTCTCTGGACTTTTTCGGCTTAGCGCATATTGGCAATCATAATTTTTCTCTAACGACAGAAATAAAGGGTAGAGGGTTTGAATCTGCACCAGACTCAGAGTTGGCTTATGTCAGTGGTGGCGAACCTATGGCACGGGTGCCAGAGGCGGCACTCAGAGCCCTCTCTGTGGGCATGCGCACCGTCGCCCCAGTCCTAGGCCTTCAGCTGGGTTTTATAAAACCTTTTCGCTTTAGGCCTCCGCCACCATGTGCAAAAAAAAAAAAAAAGGTTCAATCAGTCAATTTCAACTTCTCGCAGGAAAAAAAAGATCTTGCAAAGTTGGAATTGATTGATTGAACTTTTTAGTCCCACCCAGTCTGCCGTTATCACCGCAGCCACGCCCACCCAATGGGCCACACCCACCTAATGGGCCACGCCCACCCAATGGGCCACACCCGCCCGGCACTTGACGATGCATAAGTGGGTTTTGGGTTGCAGTTTGGGCACTCAGTCTCTTAAAGGTTCGCCATCACTGGCTTATGTGATGGGTACATATCACATAGCTACTTTGGTTGTAAAGTGATCATTTGCTCATCCCTGCTGTATCCCAGGAGTGACTTGCTTGCACCTGAGAACTGTCACCAAGGTAAAACATCTTTCTGATAGTGCTTTTCTTTCCTATAAAAGACATGCAAGATTCTGTTATTTGTATCTAATTTTACTACTACATTATAGTTTTCCTGTTGAGTGGATATTTCATTCTGATCTATCTGATGGAGGGTAATATTGCATGATAATTTGTTAATGCATCTTAGGGCCATGTTTAATGCAACATTAGCCAGAGGAAAAGTTGTTTTATGTATCTGTTATCCAGCAGGACACCCTAGTTAAAGATCCTTAAAGATTCATGGGGCCTATATATTTAAAAAAGGAAAAGGAATGCCAGTGTCTTTAGTTTAATCCTGTAGATTATCTATCAGATCAGATCCTCTAAAATATCAGAGATATCCAAAGGATATGATTAAAAAAAAATCAAGATGGTGGCTGTGACAGTGCAATTGAAGTCAAGATGTGGTTGTGATAGGTAGACCCACATATAAAACAGGGACTTTTGATTGCACTTTCACAGCTATCATCTTTTTATCATATCCTGCAGATTCCCTGCATTCACTTATCAGTTGCAAGTACTATGATTTTCCCAATCCTTTGCTTTCATTTATGAAAGGAACCGCCGATGCTATAAATGTTTCCACAGAATTTCAGTATTCATTGTTCATAATAGTTTTAGATGCTACCCCTCAGAGTCTCTTTACATCTACAGTTATTGGAAATTGAAGAAACAAGTCAATTCAATTGCCATATTGATTTTATGTTTCTGTTGAACAAAGACAGGATTATACATTTGTACCCCAAAAAGAAAAGTCAAATTCGACTTTTCTTTTAAGTGTTGAAACTGGGGAAAGATATGCTTTATTGGATATGTGTGGCCTGAAGCCGTTACTATTTGTAATTTCCTCAAAATGCTGGACCTGATGTGAGGTATTATTAAAAGATCAATGCTTTATATTGTATTAAGCTAGTAAAGGATATAGGAATTATTGGATAATATTAATAAATGTTTTGGATTGGCCCCTTTCAAGACAAAAGCATTTTTTTTAAATATATGTAAAGGTATCCTTTGGAAAAAGGAAACCTGACAAAATTACAGTTAACTTTTAAAATGTATGTACAGAATATGCTCTAATGTGCAGAGAGTGGCTATTTTGAACATCATATTTTTATAATTTGAGGCTCTCACTTAACAGTAAAAAATAGCAATCATTGTGTAAAAAGAAAGCTCTCCAATGAACCACAATTAAACTCAGCATTAGAAAACTGTTATTTTATATATAGGATTTCTCTTGTTTATTATTATTATTTTCTAATATATTGCATTAAGCTAGATTAACCTCCTGAATATGTGTTTGTGGTGCATTATTCATCAGTTGTTGTCTAATTTTTTTTAAACTGCCAGAAATGAATTGTTTATTGGTAAGAGGCATATCTTTTTCCTTATTTACGGTAAATAAAGATATGTACATAAGAATGCTTCCACTTCTATAATGTGATTGAACTCTCATGCACACTTTCTGATTTCCCATAATGTTTTGAGCCACTAGATCTTCAAAACAGCTAAAAATAAATAACTATAACATTTCCAACTCTCCGGGTCAGATAGATAGGCCTGATATGTAAACACTCTGTCTTCTCTCCCTAACCATTTCTGCTTTCTGTCTCTATCTTCTAACTATCCTCCATCTTTCCAGATGCAGGACGCTATGGGCTATGAGTTACCCTGGGTGTACTTTGTCAGTCTGGTCATCTTTGGATCCTTTTTCGTTCTTAATCTGGTTCTTGGTGTGTTGAGCGGGTAAGCTGTTAGTTTTGGTGTTTTCTTCTCCTCATGCTGCAGGGCAAGACTCCAGGATCAGGATCCTTCCATGTCACCAACCTTCTTAGCTTGTCACAAAACCCAAGCAAAGAGTCTGTTTAATGAAAATGTGCATATCATTAATATGCCTAAAGGCAGTCACATTACAGTAGGACTATATAATAATACCTCCATCAGGAGTGGAGAACTTAACAAAATTTATGCATTCCTAGACAGATGACTATCTCTCTTTGTCTTTAGAATTGATTCACTAAACATTCAGGTCCAGTGCTGGTGGCTGAGGTTCCCTTCAACTGGAGACTTGCAATGCACAGGAATTAACTTTTCTCACTAATTATCATTCCACTCTTCCAGGTCAATGATGCCATAGGAAGTGAGTGGCCCTGGATCTATTTTGTTACACTAATCATCATAGGCTCATTTTTTGTACTTAACTTGGTTCTCGGTGTACTTAGCGGGTAAGCAATACAAGGAAAAATGGTTTTCAATTGTTTTTGCTATTTATTTTCCTGGCTTCTAAACTGATATTTCTATTCTTTGGGGTGGTGTTGTGGATATAAGTGTTGATTCAGCATCTACGTTTCTTTTGGTAACATCAATGATCTTTGGCCAAACCCTAACAACTGGCACAGTAGTTACAATGCAGTATTGCAGGCTGACTCTGCCCACTGCCAGAAGTTCAATCCTGACAAACTCAAGGATTGACTCAGCCTTCCATCCTGCCAAGGTCAGTAAAATGAGGGCCCAGATTGTTGTAAAGCACTCTGAACAAGTATATAAGTCTAAGTGCTTTTGCTATTGCTGTAAAGTTGTAGTAGTTGTAGTAGTAGACACCCACATTGAATTCATCCATTTTGTAGCATAATATAACTAGAAAATTATAACTAGTTTAGTGTTCTCCTCAAAAACCAACAATATTAGAACTATTAATTGAAATTTGCTCGACAGAAACTGCTATCATAGAAGAAAAAACTAGTATCATAATTAGTATGCTTGCAGGTTACAAACCTAGAACATTGAGTATGGCTTATGTGAATTCAACTGAAAAGCAGAGGTTGATTTCTCTGATACCTTAGAGAAACTGACAGCCTTACACCATGCATCAGAACATTTATGGTCCATACATACTGATCATTCAAATAAAATTACATTGTATTTTCTAGAGTACAAAGGTTTTTTAACATTGCCTTTGTGCAAATTAACAAAGTGGTTATAGGGATTTACAGTAAAACTTCAGCCATACAGAGATACAACTCTGTTTAAGAATGTTACATGCAGACATGAATTTCATTAAAACAGTCAGCAACAGATAAGGAAGGGAAAATATAAAAAGTTACCATTTAGTGAAAAATTGTCCTTTCTCAGTTCAGAACTTTCCTGATGAAATTTGACTTAACTATGGAAGACAAATATTCACTATACCGGTATATTGAATCCGCTATGAGATAATAGGTGTCAACGTTCATGACAGTGGAACTAGTCACTAGAGAGATGTCAAATATGTTCAAATTGAGGCTAGACCATCATTTTTACATTGATTTAGATTCCTACATTGTGAAGGAATTTGGGCTCAATGTTGCAAATTAAAATGATACTTCTGTGTATTCCATGTTTATATTTTACCAGTTGGAATATATTAGTCGATTTATAATTTGCTTTCTTAGCGTGACAGCCAAAAACTAGAAATATTTGAAGATCATTGTAAAATCAATTTGGCCTATAAAAGTGCTAAATTAGGGTTTGGTATAACAGTAATTTGTTGGAATACCTGAACACATAGATGCTAAGAGAAGAATTTGGTGTCGTGGTTTAAAATTGGTTTTTGAAATCTGCCTTATTAATTTAGCTAAACCTGACATCTCATGTCATTCCTGGTTTGTTTTTGTGTTTTTTGTGCACTCCTTACTAGCACTGATGATGTTACCTAGTTAGGGTAATGAAATGTCTGCAAGAAAATAAGCAAGCTCAGAGAGCACCAAGGACCCCTCATTTTTGTGTTTGTTCTCTTTTACCAATTTTGAAATTGCAAGATAATAGTAGTTGAAAATAAAAATAGATTGACTCCCAGATTAAATTGTGATCCAAAGGCTTTCTCTCCAAACTCTTCACTCATCCTCAATCTACAAATACTTTGCTTTCTGTGGCCAAATCTTCTTTGGGAGCAAGATAGAAATACTGTACAGATCTTCAAATAAACTCCATCCATGTTTTTATCACCCCCTAATTGGATTATTGTAAGGTACTTTATACAATACCCTTGAAGACCATCAGAAACTTCAACTGATATACAGTGCAACTATGGTTCCAAGACAGAAACATTACTGCCATGTGAAACCACTACTGTAGCAGCCCTACTGGTTCGGATTGTTGTTAAGCACCCTTTAAGGAACTGTTTATGATGTATAAAGCTCTATATCAGTGGTGGCGAACCTATGGCACGGGTGCCAGAGGCGGCACTCAGAGCCCTCTCTGTGGGCACGCGCGCCATCATCCCAGTCCTAGGCCTTCAGCTGGGTTTTATAAAACCTTTTCGCTTTAGGCCTCCACCGCTGTGTGCAAAAAAAAAAAGGTTCAATCAGTCAATTTCAACTTCTTGCGGGAAAAAAAAATCTTGCAAAGTTGGAATTGATTGATTGAACTTTTTAGTCCCACCCAGTCTGCCATTACCACCGCAGCCACGCCCACCCAATGGGCCACACCCACCCGGCACCCGACGATGCATAAGTGGGTTTTGGGTTGCAGTTTGGGCACTCGGTCTCTAAAAGGTTCGCCATCACTGCTCTATATGCTTGGGCTCACTGTAACTTCAGGTGTGTTTCTTCCAGATAGAATATGTGTGTCTGCCCAAAGTGCCTGCTGAGACTCCCCATGATAGGAGGAGACATTCACACAAAAGCAAAACAGATGAAACATGGAGCACAAAGCAATACATCAACATCAAAACATCTCCCTTGGTTCCTAGGAAACATTCCTGCAAACAGATTGGCAAAATAGTTGTATACCTCTGCTAGAGGTTTGGATGTTGGCAAAAGATATGCAGATAAAACAAACCAGGAATTAACCAAATAAACCATATTGCTTTATTTTAACCTGTACTGTATAAGCTAAACACAATTTGGCCTCGTGCAATACACAAAGATATAGGAAGGAATGGAAATTGAAGTTACTTCACAAAATGCCAAATAAAAGAGAATTGCGTGTACATGCATTTTGATTACACATTGATACCCAGTTTACGACCATCATTAAAACATTTTTAAAACTGTATTAGATGTCGCAGAAAAATGCCCATTTGATATTAAGTATTAACAGTACCACCATAAACATAATGGTTTTTCCATGTAGAATGCTTTGATGCAAAAAAACCAAAACCATACAGAGCCCCATATATAGTAGATAGCAAATGTCTGCTTTCCAAGAAAGCCAAGCAAACCAAATTATTTATATTTTAAAAAATCTCAGGTTCTGTCTCTGACTCTATAATTTAAAAGATTACAAGATGTGTAAAATATATTTGTTAAAGCCAGGACAATTATTATCAGGTAGTAGATCTGATATTGTAATAAAGGAATCTGAAGTCTAACGGCAACATTCTTTCTAGAGTTGAGCATAAATCTTCCTCTAACTATTATTATTAAAAGACATTGTTAAATAATAATGTTTAATATTGCAGGGCCAATACAGCCTAAGTTGCATTTTCTAGTGGACAATACAGGGTAACATTACAAGAGATTGAACTCCATGGACATAAAACATTAAATTTAATCTTCGCTTAATAAAAAAATAATCTCTAATACTGTTCACCTTGCTTATATAAAATTGCTGCTTGGAAAGAGGCATCAAATCTTGACTAGATTTTCTTATTGTCCACCTTTTGTTTACTGTTTCTTACTACAAAAATGTGTTTTTTATTAGATGAACTCTTATGGTATTTCCACGTTTGTAAATGGCCTTTTTATTTTAATAGCAAAGCTCTTTCCACTTATTAATTCACTGAGATGCTTTTGATCCTAAGAATTAAATAAAGTATTTTGTAATATTCTATTTTTAAATCCTCATGATTAGAATCCTGACAGTGGAACAAAAACCAAACAATAGGACAGAAAACTTGAGGCAGCAAATCGATATGACATAAGAAACAAATTTGCCTTGCATTCCTAGTAATGCATTGAATGTAATATTGCATCAGGTATAGGAGATTTTAACACCACCACCAATAATAATAATATCTACATCTCAAGTTACAAAAGTAATTTGAGATGCAGTACAGGGAGCTCACCTTAGCTGTTTCAAAACCTAGCAATATATCTTGAGGAACCACAGAGCTTAAATTAATACAAGCAGCTGAGTTATCATACCAAGAAACTTAATATTTTAAGGGCAATTCAAGTTATTCTCTTATCTTCTCTCTCTTTCTTCTTTCTATTTCTCTCTCTTCTGTCCTTTTAATTTAATCCTCTCCTTCTTACCAGGGAGTTTTCTAAAGAGAGAGAAAAGGCAAAAGCTCGAGGTGACTTTCAGAAGCTAAGAGAGAAACAACAACTGGAGGAGGACTTAAAAGGATATCTAGACTGGATAACTCAGGCAGAAGATATCGATCCAGAAAACGAGGATGAAGGCATGGATGAGGAGAAGCCCCGAAACAGTAAGAAACTCTTTCCTGTTTTCCTTTTTGCTCCTAGCCAGAGATGACTTCTGAAGGTGCTCAGCATTTTGAGAAATATCCTGAGCTGAAATTTCCTTCTGAATCAAATATTGCTTTATAAAAATAGGATGGGGAAGATGAAGAAGTCAATGTAATTACTGTTGATTCCAGAAGATCATGCCTTTGCTTGGCCTTGTGTATAACAAAGGAAAACAAAGGCATATACTTTCTATTAGAAGATTCCTGAGAGAAGTAGTTTAAAATGTGCTTTGGGCTCCGTAGGTTCACTGAATTCACCCTTTTCCCTTTGAAATAATTATCTTGAATACTTCAAGCTGACTCAGTCTTGTGCTGGTGTTTGTAACATTTCTGAAACATCCTTTTGCCAAAACGTTTCAGGCCAAATATAAAAGCAATACTATTTGTAAAGTAAATACAATACCAGAATGGGCCTGTGGACTTAAACAAGCATCTAACATACTGTGTGCATTATGAGAATAATAACTCTAGAATCAGAATCAAATTATCATCTGTGTAATTTGTGAAATCACATTATTAGAGAAATATCAGTTTGACATCATGAGCCTTGCTTTGCTATGGTGGAAAGGTAATATTGCTTTGAATGATGTCACTGTTCCAATCAGCACCAAGATGATTTGTTGTAGATTTTCTCAAGGTATTTCTGAATGTACTCTTACAAGTTTATAGTATATCAAGAATTAGCCACATTATCTTTATGGGGGGAAGGATCAGTTGGTTATCTGAGCTGTTTCTGTATCAAAATGAAAGATATTCTTCGGTTGCCAGAAGCTAACATATTTTTAATTCATATTCTGCTCTTCTACATGATGCTGCTGGAGGTGATTTGGAAAGCAACTATTAGACATGGTCCTTCTTTTTGCCTTGCAATGCTTAGAAGAATGTGCTTCAAATAGCAACAAACATTGCTGTCTTGTCTTTCTATCTGTATGGTAATCAACTTTTTGGCAGAAGTTCAGAGGGTACTGTATGGCCACATTTAGATCAGTCCAAGATCATGATAAATAAATGAGTATTAAATAAGTAGTTATTCCTTTCAGAGCCTTTCACAATTTTGTCTTCTTGCTTAGGTATTGATGACTTGAACTCTGAGAGTTGTGATTCCTCCATTAATAAGTGTTCTATTGATTCTCCGTGTCCAAATCAAAGAGTGGCTGATTTTGCTTTCATCCAGGTTCCCTTGCTGTATTTCAGAGGTCCTTACTGTTGTCTGGCCCTGAGCTTTGGAAATATTTATAGACTAGCATGAGTTATTTTATTTTATGTAAGCATGTATGGATTGTGTAAGTTTGTCTTTACTATATAAGACATTAGGCTAGGTTAGATTAGGATAGGTTAAGTTGTTATATTGTGGTCATTAAACAGCACAAGACTTTTTAAAGACTAGATCTTCAAAACAGTAGTTGTGAGAATAAATTTGGAGGTGATGAGATTAATCATGGTCACAGAATCATTGGTATAATATAGTAATAATATGACAATAACCTTTAGGAATTAATCATGAAAGGTATATTATTTACTTCAGTGGTTCTCAACCTTTTTAATGCCGCGACCCCAACCGGTCGTAAGTCGAGGACTAAACCGGTCGTAAGTCGAGGACTAAACCGGTCGTAAGTTGAGGACTAAACCGGTCGTAAGTCAAGGACTACCCAACCGGTCGTAAGTCGAGGACTTTCCCTGCCCGGGAGTGCCGCGCATGCGTGGTTCCGCCCCCTGCGCCAGCCGAGGCGTAGCTGGCAAGCGGCAGAGACAGAGCAGGCCGACCACCAGCTGGCCCAGCTCAAGGGAGGTAAGGCACCCGCCGGAAAAGGGGAAAAAATGGCGGACAGCCTTGCTTGGCGACCCCCGTGAAATGGTCGATCGACCCCAAATGGGGTCGCGACCCATAGGTTGAGAACCGCTGATCTAGTTCTTTAAAGCAATGCTTCTAGATTAGAAATTTCTCAGCTGTATAGAGAATGACTTTTCTAACAGAAAAAGGCAGAATTTGAAAAAATACGAATAAGAAAAAATATTTTATTATTATATGTTATTAGAAATAATGCATACAATATGACAGTAATTAAGTCAAAGAGCAGAAAAAGTGGCTTTGCAGCTAGAAATGTTTTTCTCACAACTACAGTTTTTTCAATCAACTGAAAAATGCACACTATATAAACTACAAACAGGAGGGGATCTAACATCCCAGGTAGTGGGACGTTGATTGGTTGATGATTTTGGCTTTCCTTTCAACCAACTGAGTTCAAATTCCTTTGTGATCATTTAAGGAATGGGAAGATTTACAATTTGTTCATACTTCAGAGGGGAGGCTTATGCAATCTGAAGTTTGATTTAGTTGTTAGAATGAATTATCTGTATCTCAAAAGACATGTAAAATTTTCAATTAAAAAGGGAAAATAAGCCCAGTTCCATAATATAGTCGTTAAAAACACTGTGCTTTTCAGTTTTATTGAAGATATGAAAGTACCTGCCAAGTACAGGTAGTCCTTGACTTACAATCATTTGTTTAGCATCTGTTCTAAGTTATGACAGCACTGGAAAAAGTGACTTATGACCAGTCCTCACATTTATGACCATCACAGTCCACATGTTCACGATCCAGGAGCTTGGCAACTTGTTCACATTTATGATGGTTGCAATGTTCTGGGATGATGTGATCCCTATTTCTGACTTCCCAAACTTCAAGATTCCAACAAGCAAAATCAAGGGGAAAGCTAGCAGGGATGGTCACAAAATGCAGTCATGTGATGTATCACTTAACAATCAGTGATTCACTTACTGACCACAGCAAAAAAAATGGGTGTGCTCACATGATTCCTCACATAATGACGACATTACTTAACAATGAATTTTTCGGACTTAATTGTGGTCATAAGTCGAGGGCTTCCTATATCCTTAGAATAATCTATTTCTTTTGGGATGGAAATCATATGTCAAACTTTTTTTTTTTTGCAAATCCCTTGTATTTTGAGTTTTCTACACCCAGTCTAATGGAGAAGCAAATGCTATTAGAATATTTTGGAAACCTTGTTTGATTAAATAAGATAAATATTTAAGGTACATTTAAGGTAAATGTTTATTCTCCTGTTTTCTTAAATAAATAATATTCAGCAGTCACAGAATTCAATTGTGAAAAGAAGAAATAGCAAAGAAAAGGAACTAGAATGTTGACTAATGTGGATATTTATTCCTTGAACACAAATCATGTTATTATACCCTGTGGAATTTATTTAAAAAAAAACAATGGGAGAAGGATTAGAATGCAACATTGCCTATTTTTCTTTCTCTCTCAAAGTGGTGGAAATTCAGTATGTAACTATAAAGATATTAGCTATGCATTTAATAACAGGCATTGTGTAGCCGTAACCATGCAGAAATAAGGGTTGAAGTAGCGATGGAATTGCTGGTAGCATTGGCAACATTTACAATGTTTGTACAATAATCTGTAGAGAAGTTGTTATTTTTTTAGAACAAAGAAAGCTGCAGCCCTGTCTATGCTCACTCAACTCTAAATCCTATCGCTGTTATTAATCTGTGCTGGGATGAAACAGAGCAAAGATGTACCACTTTCTTATAAAAATTGGAAATGAGTGAGGCAGATTTTAAGTCACTAGGCTTAAAATCATAGCAATTCCTTGTGTTACAGTTTAATGAGTAGTTTCATAGCTGCTAAAATATGTGAATGACTTTTTTTATTCCTAAAGCTATCAGAGAGGAAGAACCAACGAATTTGTGTAAAATTAGTGGTGTAATGAAGGTCCTTCAGGCTGTCATCATTTTGCTTAATTTTTCCACATTTTCTTGCCAAGGGAAACAATGTAGAAAAAAAAAAGAATTAAAACCGCTTTCTAGCCTTTTATTGATTTCTACCAAGGGAAGGTAAATGAGTTTAGCTAAATGGAAACTACATGTAGTCCTTGACTTACAACTGAAATTGGGATCAAAATTTTGGTTGTAAATTGTGACAGTCATAAGTGAAGGTACCCATGTGACTGGTCCTGATTTTATGGCCATTTTTGGCAGTCATTAGGCAAATCATGTGGTGGTTAAGTGAATCACACAGCTGTAAGTCCAAATCCATTCTCCCTTTTTCTGGAAACGAGCAAAAAAATATCTCAAATCATGATCACATGACCACGGGACATTGCAACAGCTTATAACTGTGAGCCAGTTGCCAAGCACCTGACCTGTGGTTTTATGATCATGGGAGAGAATGGTATGACATGAAAACCATAAAGCACCCTTTCCAAACCACTGTTAAACAACTGGTTGTAAGTCAAGCTCATGTAGAATCTGATTCTCTAGGCCAGGGGTAGGCAACCTTGGCTCTTTTATGACTTGTGGACTTCAATTCCCAGAATTCCTGAGTCAGCATGGCTCAGCTTGGAAACTCTCCCTTTCCCCCTCAGCATGGCTGGCTCAGGAATTCTGGGAGTTGAAGTCCACAAGTCATAAAAGAACCAAGGTTGCCTACCTCTGCTCTAGGCAGTAGAGAAGTAGAATCTTATTCAAAATACTCAAACACTAAAAAAAAATCTCAATAATGACTCCTCCCCTAATTACGTGGTCTAGATTGTGGATTTAAAAAAATCATTTTATTCTAGTAAAATTGTTATAATAACCAGTCTAGCTGTTATTACAATTGTAATAACTAGTATAGCTGTTATAACCAGGCTAACTAGTACGGCTATTTGAACATGCTTCTTAATAGCTACTTAATGCCTCTTTTTTGGCTGCATGGCAGAAAGAGAAGTATTGGTGGTCATTCTTTCCTGGTCTTGAGGTCTCCACGAAGACCAGTGACCATATCTGGTCAAACAGAGAAGTTTGGGAGATAGCTTTAGAAGACACAAAGAGCAGAAGATAGGAAGTAAAGTTGTATAAAGAGACTTCTCTTTTCTTTTAGAGAATGAAAGGGAAGAGAAGAACTTGGGGGAAAGCCTGGGAGAAGAACATTCAAA